ATGTTCTCTTAATTTGGTGCCTAACTTGAGCACTCTTTTGAAGTGTATAAATATCATTAACAAGATTCTTGAAAATTTGGAGCTTTTAGCTCTAATTTGTTATATGAGATGCATATAGGAAAGTGGAAATCAGTACACTGGTAAAATATATTTGTCTAATGCTTCAAATCTTTTTTCATATACATTTGATGAGTTTAAGAGAGAATTGAATGTTTCGGGTTTTCTCCTTGTTAATCAGCTGATAGTTTGTATGAAAAGTTTGTCTTGAGCTTATACGAAAAAATTGAAATAGTCCATAGGACAGCTGCCTAATGATCAACAAATGAAAGAACCTTTTTCTTGAGAAAATGAAAGAACCTTTTTCTTGAGAAAATAACCTGAAACGTTGTCATCTTAGCTGACAGGTACCCTAAATTGATTTATTAGAAGGTTCTATGGTCTAATGCACTTTATCTATGCAATAGGCAGATGCATTGCAAGATTATCGTTGTATTTCGGAACAAAATTCCAGCAAGGTTTTTGGGTTTTGTTTTGTTTAGAGAATTCGTGTAGTATCAAATTTCATGTTCAGTAGACTCCATGAAAATGCAATTGTATTTTTTCCCCCCATTTTAGTCAGTTCATTTTGATGCATTTGTTCTTTCTTCTACCAATGTGGTGGAGTTGCAAGGGATTTCACTGCCTTTTATTAGTTCTTGCGTTTCTTTACATGGTGATTGGAAATCTTGAGTTGTTCCCTTATAACAATAAAGGGGGAGGGTGAAGGTAAAGATGCTAAGGGTGTACTTATGCATTTCAGGGCGGTGATGGATTTTTCAATGAAATACTGAACGGTCTTCTCTTGTCGAGGCACAAATCTTCATATCCACCACGCCCTACTGAACTTAACCATCCCGTTGAGGAAAATGGCAACAGGCCTGTTCTTGATGCCAATGGGGATATCAGGGACCCATCCGATAGCTGTGAAGATGAATCCCCTCTTCTAAAGCAATCAGCAAACCTCAGTATGTAAACACGTAAAATTCTCTCCATAACTTTGTTTTCTTTGCATGATAAATATTTGTGAAGTATGCTTATGAACAGTGTATCCGGAATTACAGGAACCGGAGAAGATTCCTGCCAAACAGGTTAGTTAAATTTAAGTTTTTCCTTCGTTTCTTCTTCCTTTCCTTTGAAACCAACCTAAATGCAGTAGCTCTTTCCTCTTGTGAGGAGCTCTTTTTATCGATACAACATCCTTGATTTACCCTTTTGCCATCTCAGCAGCAGAAGATCTTGAGTTTTCTTTCCCAAATGAAAAATTCAGATTTGGAATTATTCCAGCAGGATCAACAGATGCCATTGTAATTTGGTAAGGTCCTATACCAATCCTTCTCATTTAGTATAGTTGAATGGTAACTTTGTGTTTAGAGGCATCCTGTGAAAGTTGTCCTTGTGTGTAACTGATATGAGTGAGCTAACAACAAATAGCCTTTCTAAGTGTAACTTTGATATTGTATCGCTTCTTTACCAGCTATGGATGTTGTCGACCTCGTAGATATTTATTAACTTAATATGCATGTGTATTTTGTTTTTAAAATACTAGAGTTATGCAGTTGACATTCATTTTTTGCAGTACTACAGGGGCGAGGGATGCTATAACTTCTGCATTGCAGATTGTCCTTGGTAAAGCGGTGTGCCTTGATGTAGCTCAAGTTGTAAGATGGAAAAAAACTTGTACATCTAAAGATGAACCCTGTGTACGTTATGCAGCTTCTTTCGCTGGGTAATTTTCATCTATCATTGGTATACTCGTATGTTGTTTCAAAAATGTCTTCATTTAAGCCGATACTTACAGTTAGTGGGTGGTGCACTCTTCCGCCTTTCTTTCTGGTTTATTTTGAATCCACCTATATCCAGGGGTGGCAGCCTGCTTTGTTTTAACTTATTGGTAAATATGTTGCATTTAGTTGAAAAGTGAGCAATACATTATTAAATTTGCAGGCTTTATCCTACTGAATCCTTCTTTTCTTTGGTTTGCTATGCCTGTGATAATCTATGGTTTTACGTTACGGGTTCGAACCCTGCCGCAGACAAAAATCTGATATTTAAGTGGAGAAGGGTAGAGGGGTGGACCCATTATCCACCGAGTTTCGAACCTTGCGCCACTGGCCCTCGAGGATATCTCGGTTATAAGAAATATGATAATCTATGGGTTTTCTTTATTAACCAGCTCAATGTTTTCACTATGTGGGACATATTCTGTTTAGTCGTTCACTTGTGAACTTGGTATTTTAAGTGGTTACAATTGCACTGAACCATTGCTCAAAGTATTCAATGCAATCTATGGTCCCCTATTGACTGGATGTTACAATAAGCTCATGAGCTTTTTAAACTTTTGAGTTGGTCAATGACTTTGCTCTTATAATCTACTCAGGAAATCATATTATTTGCCACATCTGGTTTCTTTTTCACCGGGTTTCAGTCCCCTTTTACTATAAACTGTATTAGCCGTCGGCCTAAGCAGTCCATGCAGGGATAACACATGCTTCTTTGTGAACTTAAGATTAAATTCCTCTTCTCCTTCATAATCATTTGCTCACCTATCAGGTATGGGTTTTATGGAGATGTAATCACTGAGAGCGAGAAGTACAGGTGGATGGGTCCTAAGCGGTATGATTATGCGGGAACAAAGGTGTTTCTTCGTCACAGGTATGTTTTGTGGACAATTGTTTTTGGTGTAAGATAGAATTTGACTGTACCGACTTGAACTCGGATCCATGTCTTATGCTGCGTCTTAGGAATGGCAATGATCTCACATGCTACTATACTTCCTCTAAGCTTAATTCTCTAGAGCACTCAACTTCATATACTTCTTAATGCTGTAGTATATGTTATAACTTCATATTTTTTTAGATCGTATGAAGCAGAAGTTGCATACGTGGAAGTTGAATCGGAAAAGAAAAACATAGGTCTTGAGAAAGGGTCGTCGGGCAGCTGGACGAAGGGATTGTGGCCCCTACTCAAAAAGTCTGAAAGAGTAGCTTGTCGTGCAAACTGTGGTATTTGCAAAACAAAAGCAGACCACACGTCGGCTAAATGTCCGAGCTTGGAGCCCTATTCGAAAGATTCAAGATGGTTAAAGTCCAGAGGGCGTTTTCTTAGTGTTGGAGCGGCAGTAATCTCTTGCAGAAATGAAAAAGCGCCCGATGGTCTGGTGGCTGATGCACACCTTTCAGATGGTTTTCTACATCTTATATTAATTAAGGACTGCCCTCATGCATTTTATTTGTGGTAAAAATCTCTCTTTCTTTCTCCTTCACTAAATGGACCTAGTTGTTTAACAACTAAACTCATTACTACATCTCAATCAGAGGCGGAGTCAGGATTTGAAGTTTATGGGTTCTCAATTTACCACGGAACTCATGGCTCGTCTTAGTTGTTGGATTCACAATTAAATATTTAATGAATTTCATAGTACAAATACAATGTTTAAGCAAAAGTGATTGGGTTCGGCCGAATCTACACCTAATAGGCTTAGCTCCGCCTCCGTGCTAAATAACTATTGATTCTAATGACTTGAAAATGGAGAAAGAGACCAAGTTGGTTCAACTTTGAATTGGTCCATATTCTTTGCATGAGCATTATCCATCTCTATCCTCACAAGGTAGGGGTAAGGTCTGCGTACACACTACCCTCCCCAGACCCCACAGTGTGGGATATTACTGAGTATGTTGTTGTTGTTGAGCATTATCCATCTCCGCCCTGCTGACTTTTTCGCACATAATTTGTCTATTTTATGCAGTCACCTTCTCCAGCTAGCAAAGAAGGATGGGAACCCGCTAGATTATGAATTCGTGGAGCATCACAAAGTAAGAATTTCTGAAAAACTCTTGTTCTCCTCTTTATCTTTTTCTACGAAGCTATTTTATCATGACATTTTCTGCATTCTCCTAAGCAGACTCCGGCATTTACATTCACTTCTTTCGGCAAGGAGAGCATATGGAACGTTGATGGCGAGCTCTTTCAAGCTCATCAACTTTCAGCTCAAGTATTTCGTGGACTTATTAACTTATTTGCTGCTGGTCCCGAAGCCTAAAGTAGTTGAATCTCTTCAAATATTTGTCATTACTTGTTCGAAAGCTATTTAGTATTTCATCAATTGATTTATGACTAATCAAAAAGTAGATAGGAAATGTCGTATATGAGAAAATAAGTGGACCTTATAAATATAAAGTTATGTCTTAAAGAGCAGGCAAATATATTCCACGGCATTTCATGTGGTTGCTCTTTGAGTAAGTTTATAAGGGAGTTTAGTGATCCATGATTTATGTTTATCTTTCATTGGTTTCGAAAAGTTTGTCAATTAATTTAGATTCTTTCTTTTCTCTTCATTTTTCTGATTGAGATATACATATGTTGGGGAAAAGGGTTATACTTGCCCAGAAAATGCTCTATCTTGGGGAACGTGTCAGTTTCGTTCTCTCTCTCCTTTCCTCCACTCCACACTCCGGCATAGTTCCTTCTGATGGAAAACCTATCTTTGCCTAGTTATGGATCGGGGAATCACTTTTATTTCAAGCGGGAAAACCTTTGAATTAGTTAGCATTAATAAAGAAACTGACATATGATTTATTATTATTGAGCGCAATAGAAAATTTACAAGCAGTATCAAGATTAATGAAAGCAATCTTCGTTGGGTATGTGAAGCATTAATTCAAGCCTCACCACTTCAGACTGGTAATAAATGCAGAAGATGTGGTAGGAAGGTGCAAACTTACACCTTTAGGGTGGTACAGAATTTCAATTGCTACGGGGGTTTTGTTAGAGTCGAGTCTATATTGGGGGAGAAAATTTTTGATGTCATTATTCCAGAGAGCAATTACAACAAAGGAGGAGGTAGCAAGGATAATTAGGGTCATATGCAAATCCAAGGTTTTATCTTTATACAGATCAGTCCAGGTCTTATATGAAAGCAACAAGGATTTCACAATGGCCAGCCACAACATGGCAAAGTCTAGATCTCCTGGAGGAGGAATCTGGGAATAAGCAATTCCTGTCAAAATGCCTCATAGGCCAGTTTAATGACCCTTTCAGCACCAGTCCGAATGCAGAGGTAATTCAAAAATGGTTCACAGGTAGATGGCAGGTCACAACTGGTCTTAGAGTCATACCAATCAACCATAATCAGTTCTTGTTCGAGCTTTCCTTCCAGGCCGGAAGCAAACAGAGTCATAGCCGGCGATTAGTTTTGGAATGGAAGAAGATTGACTCTAAAATGGTGGTCTCTGGTGGCTGGTTCAGAGATGACAGAAGCAAAATCAAATCACAGATGGGTGAAGGCTTTCGGAATTCCTATCCATTCATGGACCTCAGAAACTTTCAAATTCATAGGCGACAAGTGTGGTGGTGTCGTCGGAATTGACGAAGACACTAAGCACAAGGTGCATCTGTTCTGGGCTCACATTTGTGTTAAAACCAACAGTGGAGATTTGCCGAGAAATTTGGAGCTGATAAAGGATGATTGGGGCTTTGAAATTTCAATACTTGAAGATTTCCACACCAAAATCTGACCTGTCGGTAAACCAGTCATCAGTGGAGGGAAAGGTACGTCAGAATAAGTAGGTACCTCGAGACATACATCAAGGGCAGCAGTCACGCACGTGGGTGGACAGCTGGGCAGCTTTAATTTGAAAGTTAGGCCACCTGTTAACCCAAAGGATAAAGGGTTACTAAGGTTAGAGGACAATGGACCTACAAATACAATTAAAAATGTGGGCCTGGATGCTAACAAAAACTATTACAAAAAAGGCCCAAAAAAGAAAGCTCATTTGAAGGAGAAAAACTTATTAAAAGAGAAGACTATATGGAGGATAGTAGGGCACAAGCCCAACCCATACACAAATCTTTTTAATACAACAAACTGTTATAAAATAAAAACTGTAAAGTAAAGACAAGTATAGAGAGAAACTGATATATTATTCAAACTTCAAACTTATGTACATAATGAACTGAATTCCCCTCTATTTATAGAAGAAAGGAAGCAGCTGCGAGGCTTTTCAGGAAGCAACTGCAAGGCTTTTCTTTAGCTGCTTGTAAGCTGTCTGCATGAGCTGCTTGCAACCTCTGTTTAATAAGAAGCTGCTGCAAATCATTTCATTGAGCTGCTTGCAACCTGCCTGCATCAGCTGCTTGTAGATAAACTTCAACA